GTTTTGTGACCTTAGGAAGCGTGATGGATTGTAGCGTGGTAGAAGACTAGTTAAGGGCCTTATAGGTAAGTAATAATATTTTGGAACTGATATGGAACTTTATAGGTATCATATTTTCTTGACCTGGTAAGGACTCTAGCAGCTGCATTTTGGACTACCTGTAGCTTGTTTATTGAAGATGCAGGACAACCACCTAGCAGTGCATTACAATAGTCCAGTCTAGAGGTCATGAATGCATGAACTAGCTTTTCTGCATCAGAAACAGGTAGCTAACGTTTCGTAGCTTGGCAATGTTTCTAAGATGGAAGAATGCTGTTTTTGTAACATGGGAAATACGATTTTCAAAAGACAAGTTGCTGTCTAATACAACACCCAGATTTTTTACAGTAGAGGAAGTAACCGTACATCCATCTAGTTGCAAATTGTAATCCAAGAGATTCTGTGTACTGTTTTTTGGTCCGATAAGTAATATCTCTGTCTTATCCGAATTTAATAGGAGAAATTCATTGGTCATCCAATCTTTTACATTTTTAACACATTCTGTTAGCTTAGATAATTTAGAAGTTTATACTATACTATAGTTTATACTATATACTATAGTATATTTTAGTTCCCTTTACTCCACAGAACATCAAAACATTTTAATTATGATGCCATTTATTATAAACAACATTTATTAGAAACACCAAGCATAAACTTACTTAAAGTGAAACTGAATTATCAGCATGTGGGAAATAAACTTGATGTGCTTTGCCTTGCCTATCAAGCACAAATGGTGTTAGGGAGAGATAAAAAAAAAAAAAGTGAAACCCAAGAAATAAAACATTTCTGTGCGAATGCATAGACCATTTATAATTCGACAACAGCTAACAACAACTTACCATCATTTACTGAAAGAAAGTCATTTCCCTGCGGGAAAAAACGGAGATGTGAGAATTTGAACCGTGTAACTTTAGGCTTGGTTGACTGCATTTTAGTTTGATGAATAGGCTGTGATGTCAAGTTAGCTATGTTAGAACTGATATGTCGTGTGTGCTTGATGTTATTTTCATTACTTTGGAATATAAGCGACTTTCTGGAAAATACGGTACATTAGCACAGTGCTCCATCTTAAAGGGATAGTTCACCCAAAAATGAATATTCTTTCTTGAATTTTCAAACCCGTAAGACCTTCGTTCATCTTCGGAACACAAATTAAGATATTTTTGATGAAATTTGAGAGCTTTCGGACCCTCCATAGACAGCAAGGATCCTACCATGGTCAAGGCACGGAAACGTAGTAAGGACATCGTTAAAATGGTCCATGTGACATCAGTGGTTCAACTGTAATTTTACGAAGCTGCAAATACACCTTTTGTGCGCAAAGAAAACAAAAATAACGGCATGCGCCATGGTACTCTCGTTAATGGCGGCAGACTGTCCCAGAAGAAATGGTTAAATAGTTATTTTTGTTTTCTTTGCGCACTAAAAGGCCATGGGGGTGAGTAATTAATGACAGAATTTTCATTTTTGGGTGAACTATCCCTTGAACAACCGCTCCATAAATCATGTAGCCTAACTGCTACATTTAAATGAGTTTCTCCTTGGCTAAGATGCCTTTGTGTTTTTGTCACAGGTCATACGCCAGCCCTGGCTTGCGCATCCAATAAAGCTGTTGCCGACTGCCTAGCTCTCATTCTGTCAACCATGAAGCCTTCCTCCTCCACGTCCTCCTCGTCCTCACCGTCGTCTCCCAGCCTCAACCTGCTCAAGCACTGTGGCATCACCGCCGCCTGTCCCCCCCTGCCCAATGGAGGCCTTCGCCATGGTTACGTCAAAGATCGCCATGGTGCTACTATCGGCTTGGATGGCTACTTGACCGAGTAAGGCGTTCTTACTCGCTAAAAAAAATAAATAAAGCGTGGTCGCTTGGTTTGGTCCTCTCTACACACCTAGATAAACCTATATGCAATTACAGCCACACATCCCTCCTGTGCCAGTATCAAAGCTTTTCTTCACATCTCAGTAGAGAGTGAACACGAGAGGACGAATTTAGCTATTTATTTCTATTTATTTTCCCCCGCATCCTTTTCCTCCCACCCCCTGACTCCCATTTTAGATGCTGTCCATTCAGTACGAGTCTAAAATCTAAAATTTGAATCTAAGCCATCTATTCGAACCAGTATCCATCACTGGCGAGTCAGTCCTTTATTTCTTCTCCATTTGCAGTCGATTCGACTCGGTTCATGTTAGAATTATGCAGCTGTGTGTCTCCATGGTAACAGTGATAATGGATGGGTTTCCATATCATGCCTCCAATTTGCGTGATGCTGTGGCCTTGCATAGGAATTTACAGCCTGCCCTGAGGAACAATTTAAACGGGTTACACTAGATTTGCATGAATTTGCGGGACCATGTATTTGATAGTGGTCTTGTTTGTGTGTGTGCGTGCACGTGTATGTGTGACATCCACTTTTGCGCAACAGTCCAAGTTTTTCATCCCATACTTGATTATTACGTTTCCAGGTTTTTATGTGAGCTGCAATCTGATTTAGCTCAGATCAGGAAAAACAAACAACCTAACAGAATCAGAACAGAAGGGAAACCATACTACCTTAAGCCAAAAGACCAATGACCTCCTGAGAGAGGGGTCTGATATATAATGCTTGTTTACTTGTTAGAGAGAAAAGGGATAGTGTTTGGATGGGTTTTGAGGTTGAAAATTCATATTAGGTTTACAATGTAGGTATTAGGTAGTCCAGATCACTGTTTGTAGGTAGGCAGAAGAAAGAGGAGTTAAAAGTGTCATGATTTTGGCCGTTAAAACAACATTTTGAATATGCTACACTAAGGAAGTATAGAAAGCACAAACATTACAGATGCAAACGTCATACACAGTACTTGCTCCTTAGGACCTTTGGTTTTATTTGTTTTGCTTTTTGGGCCTCATAAAATGTCTTAAATTAAATCTACTGCTTTGCTATAATATTTAGTGTGGAGTTGCTTTCACAGTGCCTACTGAATTTAGTTTTGTCTACCTAGGGTCCAGTCAGTTAAACACACCATATGCGGTCCCTTAAAGTCGTCGAAATGGTGCTTCGACCAGTGAAACATGAGTATTTCACTAAAATCTGTTATGAATTGATCACCTGAATAGATGAACGTGTGATTCATATATCAGAACCCACTTGGGTTGTTTTAGACTTTGGGGAGTGTGTATATGTCGAGTGTTTATGCTGACTGGACCTTTTTTATATTTGTTTATGGTGTTGGGGAGCAGTCATGGGTATGACCAAAGTCGAGCAATTTCTAATTACCATTTTAATAGAAACTAATAGATATCCAAAAAGGCATTATCTTTTTAATTAAAGTACTGAAATAACAATCACCCCTGCTCTTTTTAAAAATGCTTCCTTATTGCCAAAGGTGAATTGATTAACAAAGTTAAGGTTGTGCTTCCATTAGGTTTTTTGCACCTAAACACAAAATAAGAACATTGAGTGTTTGAAACATCCTTTTTTTTGTTTGTTTGTGCACCACAAACAGGCAATATATGCTCAGTCAGTAATGAGACAATCAGTTGAAAGGGCTTTTGATTTTGCCATAGATTTCTTTTTTTTCATAAACACGCCATAGCGTCAACACTTTTTTTTTTCAATTAGGAAGAGCTATACATATCTATATCTCTTAATTCAAGCATACTTTCAGGTGTGAAATGTGGACTTGTTCTCAATTATACCAATACTATTGCTTTCATTACAGTATATCAGGATTTTAGTGATTTAGATAGAGTAGCTTTGAAGTATTGTAACATTAACTGATATTTTATGGGTGAATGAAGGTGTGTAGACAAACGAAATGGTAACGTTAGATGTTTAAAGGCTGTGTGGAGAGCATATTTATACTGATTCACGAAATTACCTCTTCCTCTTTGTAATGACAGGTTTTGGCTGCTTAAACAAGTTTCTCCACTCCACGCAGACCTGATATAAAGCACTTGCTTGTTCAGTAACAAAAAAGGATGAAAAAAATACGCTTTTGCATCTGTCACAAGCTGTAAATGGGCAAATATCTGACTTCTACTTGCAAGAGTACAAATGTGCATGTGTGCAAATCAGATTAGTCAAGTTATATCGGAGTGTTTTGCCTGGGAAATATTTCTAAGTGGGCTACATGACTAAGAGGAAGTCCCTCATGGGAGTTTAATTCAAGCTTATTTACCTGTACTTGAGCTTGACTTTTATCACGTACAATAACTTTTGCTGTGGTTTGGTGGAGGGAATCAGTGCATGTGTAGACAGCAACAGGGTACGATAATGAAGTGCAAGTTGATGAGAGCTTAAAGTTATTTGCACTGCCAGTTATACTGCTTGTAGTTGTAAAAAAAATAAAAAATTATTTATAAATTTAGTCTAGCTAGTCGTACCACATGTAGTTGAGTTCGAAAAACAAGTGCCCGTGGAGCCTGTGATTAGTAATACATTTCATTTTGGTGCAAGAAAAAGTGCTGCTTTCGATTGTATCTTGGAGCTAATTTTTTAGATGTGATCTTTGTCTATTTATTAGCGAAAATAATTCTTATCCAGCCAAAACAAACTAAAACGTACTTGTTTTAATTCCTCAAATTTCTCGTTGTCTTATTGGCATTGCACTAAAATCGTTGAATTGTTTTGTCGAATGTATGCCATGATGGTAGCAGCTTGCTTCGATGTTGGTGAAAAACTTGTATGCAGTAGTTAGCGATTAAATAATTAGCTTGACAACAGGAGCCCTTTCAGAACTTTTAATAGAGTTGGTGCATTAGGTGTTCTGTGTACGAACAATAAGGGAACCGGTCACAAAGAGGCAAGACTTTTTTGTAGGGTAGAGTACTGATAACTGATAAGGGGGGTTTCCTCCCTAAATCATTTAGTGCCATAACTTTTCTTTTTCCTTTCTCATTTTGATACGTTTGTAAAAATGTGAATGAATGATTCCTTGGGTTCAGTTTTTGAGTGTGCGTCAAGACCATTACCAAAAAAGAAAACGAACGAAGTCCAAGCTAACATAAGCTACTGTGCCCATTATATTTTTTGGAGATCCACATAGTGTTAGTTATTGTAAAATGCCAGTACGTTCACAATCAGACTGTCTAAAAATGTCAGTATATACTAAGCTATACTGATGGGCTGGTTAGCCTTTGGTGGAGATCACCTCCATCTGAAAGCTTTTATGGCTACGCCATAACTTAGCATTTGCCCTTATAAATGGAGTAGCTGGATTTGAGTCATTCAGTCAACGACTAATTCAAAAATGATATTTTATAAATGTTCCAGTGTAATCGATAGTTCCCACAAACCATTGATAATTTGAGGTTTATTTCTAAGCAATGGAATTACGAAACGCCTTAATTTCATTATTAACCGAAGGGCAAATTTGACATTTACCAAAATGACACATTTACATAGCTTTTCTTGTTTTATTCTGGATCAGCAAATTGTGAGCTTGTTTTTTGTTTGTTTTTACGCAACTTTGCTATGAAGGGCCAACTGTTGACCAAGTTATAATGGTTGCAATTACATGCAGGCAGTTGGAAACTAGAGTCGTCTAATAATTGTAACCATTTTGTTGGAAAGCAGATTAATTGTAGCTTAACTCAGTGTCCTTATTGTATGTCCATCCTCGCATTTTTGTATCGATATAATTTTTTTTCTCGCAAAGGTATTAATGGCTGATAGAATGTCTGATTTACCTCAGTGGACCTCAGCGTCCCTACTACTTGAAGACGCATCCATTTAAGGCAATACTCAAAACACCCGTTTCATTTAACCTATGTCTATCTCCCAACTTTTTGCCTTAAGAGGAAACGGTATAGTTCAGCAGTCGCAGCACTTGAGAGATTTTGTCATTAACGTGGGATCTCGTTTCGATGAGATTCATAAGAAGCACACTGTTCTATAGGTTGTTTTGCTGAAAGATGTACCATAATGGCTTCTGGCCTCAAAATAATAATTTTCATGGAATTTATTAGGAGTTTTTGCACTAGAACATAGAAAGAAAAAAAAAAGTCTTTTTTTAATACATTTGTTTCAAATATTTAGCTGTAAAATTTATTTTGGAACAGCTAATGTTTGACTAACTTTACTCATTAAGCAAAAATCTGATAATGTTGGGTTTAGGTTCTCCTAAATTAAGCATTTAAAGTACTGATTTATAAAAACACCAATTTGCAGAAAAAATCAGTATGGGAACACGGGTAGTGAATGGTAAAAGATCTGGCAATACATCTTAAGAAAAAAAGTATGTATTATCCAATGCTAAATAATTTTATACAGGACAGAGTAGATACATTTTCTCCCCATTTTTCTGTGTCTTAGTTGAAACATTTAGGTAGTAAATACTTGTGTGATGTTATAAATGCAAATATTTCTAACAAAGTAAATAACAAGAGCACAAGAAGATGTGCTGTACATAATTCCTCAAGAAGTGTGGTCGGAATTGCCTTGACGTGGCAATCTTACCTCGTAAACTAGCTGTCCTTAAAATCTATCGTGCTATATATACTGGTACATGAAATTTGGGTGGGCTTTTAGCTACGCATGCTCCGTGCAACTGGAATCCTAAGGTCACGTTTTGAGGCCTTGAAATGGAAAGCATTGGCTTTTTCAAGAGGTGCTCTTGAACTTGATGATGTCCTTCACCCTGGCTTAGTGTTACTTCATGTTTCTACTCAGTAAGCGCTAATAGTTCAAATTGTAAATCTGCAAGCGAATAATTTAATCAAAAATAGCTGCTTTTTGTTGTTCTCGCCAGCAGCTTGTTTTCATAAGGCTAGTTAGAAAACCACCGGAGCCTGACTGAGTGACTGACCTGACAGGGCACGTAGGGATCCCTTTAAAAAACATTTTCATATTTTAAAAAAAAGCTATGCAGGAATACTTCCTTTTGTCTCGCAGAGTTGCATAGTGCCACTAGAGATAGCCCAAGAGCTTCAATGACCGATCATGGACCTTCATCTGTAAATCTAACACTGACCTTACTTGCTTGTTGGCTTCGGTTGAGAAAATGACTGCTTTGCGTGGCATGCTGCTATTTCTTTGGAGTCTGTAAGCATCATCATCTCTTTAAAGTACTACACTTTGTGATGAGTATGTGGGATTGTGCCTTTTGTTATCAAGTACATGCCACAGGGTATGGTCTTCCATTAACACCTTTAGTGAGCCTTATGAATGAACAACTGTTGTAAGTTTCAAAAATAGCCACCATCCACGTGGTTGAGCCGTCAAAACTCGCAATCAAATTTGTCACGACACCGCAGATGAATAATTAACTTTTGTAAATTGAATGAAACCATAACGGCGAAACATTTGATCGGTTCTAGCTAGTGACCTGTTCAAACTCTGTATGGAACAAAACGTGTTTAGTTTTACAACGTGTGAACTCTTTAGTGAAGTAGACGTGTGTTGTGTCGTTTTTGTGTGGTAATGCATTGGAGATTAGTTGTAACCCAGTGTCTTGTAGAATGTTGGCATGACTCCTTTTCTCTATGTTGTATCGACGTCAAAGTATCCACCTAAAATGGACTGAAGTGCAATAACTTTTTTTGTGCGCCATAGTATCCTTAATGGAGGAAAATGCCCTCTTACAACATCCATGTTTTGTTTTTTTTTTCTTTAAGCAGGGTATTTTATTTCACTTATTTTTATTTTTTTTGGATTGTACAAATTTAAACTCCTTCCTGCTTTGCCTCCATAAGTGGCACTTTCTTGTGGAATGTGCAATGGACTTGGTGGAAACTGTGATAGGTGTCAAAGCCTTATCAATACTTCTTGCTTACTGGAAAGATGGCATTTCTGTTTTCTCATCGGTTGATAGGTCAGAGATTGCCGTTTTCCATGTACCTTCTCCAGCGTCACTTAAAGTCAGTATGCTTTCGTGGCATGTTAAGCATTTGTGTGTGTGTGTGTGTGTTGGGGGGTGTTTAGACCTGTTCATTTACCCCCTAATCAATTGATTTGATACCAAAAGCGAAGCGCATTGCCTAGAATTACAGTTCTTTTTTTTTGGATTAGAGATGTGATAGTTCTATTTGGAAATGATATATTGAATGTTGTTGTTGTTGTTGTTGTCAGCAGTGAAATATGCAGGGTTTTATTTCTCCCCACGCAACAGTTGAACATTGGGCCATATGTTATGCGGTACCAAAGAACGTTTCATTGCTTATCTTTGGATCGTTTTT